AAGTGGTAGAGCGCTAGCCTTGAGCTGAAGAGCTGAGGGACAGCGCCCAGGCCCAGAGTTCAGGCCCCACAACGGACCCCCCCCAAAAAAAAAGGCTAGAGCTCTACCACTTGAGCCACAGCGCCACTTCCGTCTTTTTTCTTTTTGCTTATGTGGTACTGAGGAATCAAATCCAGGGCCTCATGCATGCAAGGCAAACGCTCTACCACTGAGCTACCTTCCCAGCCCCAGTCCATAACTCTTATTGCCAATTAACAAGCAAAAAGCTAGTGGAAATATGGTTCAAGTGGTAGAGCACAAGCCTTGAGTGAAAAAGCTAAGGGACAGAGCACAAGTCTGAGTTCAAGCCTTAATATTAGCATACACGCACACACACACAGAAACAAAAAAAAAAAATAAGCCAGGCATCAATGGCTCACACCTATAATCCTAGCTACTCAGGACGCTGAGATCTGAGGAGCACAGTTCAAAGACAGCCAAGGTAGGAATGTCTGTGAGACCCTATTTCCAATAAACTATTCAGAAAAGCCAGGCACTGTTGGTTCACACCTGTCATCCTAGCTACTCAGGAGTCTGAGATCTGAGGATCACAGTTCAAAGCCAGCCTGGTCAAGAAAGTCCACGAGACACTTATCTCCAATAAAACACCAGAAAACCAGAAGTGGTGCAGTGGCTTAAGTGGTAGAGTGCTTGCTTTGAGCTGAAGAGCTGAGGGACAGCACTCAGGCCCAGAGTTCAAGCCCCATGTCCAAAAAACAAAACAAAACAAAAAAAGAACTACTCAGAAAAAAGCCAAAATTGGCACTCTGGTGTAGAGTGGTAACCTTGAGCAAAAGAAGCTCAAGGACAGCATCCAGGCCCTGAGTTCAAGTCCCAGGAAGGAATGGCAAAAAACCCCAAACCAAACCAAAAACCACACACACACACACACACACACAACCCATTAGGCAAGAGAGAAAGAGAGAGATTGAAAACAAAGAGCCTGTGATCTCTCTTCTCCCACCCCTTCCAGCACAGCCCCCCTTCCATTTCCAGAACCTTCACATCTCCCTGTGAAAACACTTGTAACGAAAAGAGCTCCATTAACTGTACCCAAAGCTACCATGATGGAACACTTGATAGGCATGAGCTCACGGTCCGGTTCTTCTCCTGGGGCCAGGGCATCCAGAGGACTTGGCAGAAGAAAAGCCAGGCCATTGAACCCAGTGTCCTTGGCTCACAGGAACCTGACAGTGTCCAGCCCCTGGGCCGTGGGGCTGGGAGCATTTAAAGGATAAGACGCTGTGACTTACCTATGCAAATCATCACTTCCTTCTACTGATTCCCCCTCCACACCTGCTTCTACTGATTCCCCCCCCCCCAAGTCATTCTGTCATTCTATCATCAATCCTTGGCTGCATTCCCCTCCCCCACCTCAGGATCAGAATGCCCCTGGGTTCCCACAGTCCCCTGGGGCACCCCTCTGCAGAAGCTCTTAGACACAGCCTGCTCCTATTCTATTTTTTTTAAATTTTTTGTTGATTGGGAGCTTGAACATGGAGCCTGGGCTCTGTCCCTGAGCTCTTTTTGCTAAAGGTGAACTCTCTATCACCTTGAGCCACAGTGCCACTTCCAATTTTCTGGTGGTTCTTTGGAGATAAGAGTCTCACAGGGCTGGGAAGGTGGCTCAGTGGTAGAGCGCTTGCCTTGCATGCCTGAGGCCCTGGGTTCCATTCCTCAGCACCACATAAGCAAAAAGAAAAAAGCCAGAAGTGGTGCTGTGGCTCACGTGGTAGAGCGCTAGCCTTGAGCTGAAGAGCTGAGGGACAGCACCCAAGCCCAGAATTCAGGCCCCACGACCGGACCCCCCAAAAAAAACTGGGGGACAGTGTAGAGCTGCTCCTTTCCTGACTGCTAACCCTGCCTACACTTCTGCCTACACTTCTGCTGTCATCATCATAGTCATATACTGAGGACCCCTGTCCACTGGCTTCCAGCTCGACCCAGCCAGTCAGGGGGTGGGAGGGAGCAGGGCACCAGGGACTAAAAACAGGGAGCCTAAGCTTATTGCAGAAAGCCTGGATGCAAGAAATCTTATTGCCCCCTTAATACCCTTTGGGCAGGCTGCTTAACTTAACCCTGTGTCTCAGTTTCATCTGGATTGTTATTTGTTCTCTGATGTTAGCAGTGTGGGGATTGAACACATGACCTCCTGCATGCTAGACAGCTGCTCCACCACTTCAGCCACATCCCTAGCCTCAGATACTCTTTGTTTTGCAATGCTAGTGGTCAAACCCAAGGACTTGTGTGTACCCTAGGCAAATAATCACGGATTCACACACCAGCTCTCTGTAGTTTGGAAAATGCAATTGTACAGGTAGCAGCTGAAGTAGAAGCTGTCCAAGTCTCTCTCTCTCTCTCTTTCTTTCTCCCTCTGTATTGAGGATTGAGTTCAGAGACTCTAGTTTGCAAGCAAGCTGTACTACTTAAGCCACACTCTCAGCTCTCTTTTTCTTAGTCATATATCTCAATATTATATACTATAAGTTAACTATTGCATGCATTTTCTATAGCTAGATTTAAATAAAGTGGAGCCAGGGCAGGGTGGGGTATTCCAATAATCCTAGCACCAAGGAGTCTGAAGCAGGATGGGCATAAGTTTGGGGATGGGGGTAGCCTAGGCTAGCTATATGCTGAGATTCTGTCAGAAAGAAAGAGAAAGGAAAGACGGAAAGAAAGGAAGAAAATGAGCAGAGAGCACACACTTGCTACTCAGGAGGATAAGATCTGCAGGATCCTAGTTAAAAGCCAGTCCCTAAGAGTCCATCCCCAAAGAAACTAACAAAATACCAGGGTGGGGGCAATGCACAAGCAGTATAGCTCCAGCCCAGCAAGCAAGCTGGTGAACTTGAGTTGGAAACCCATTACTTAGTTCCCACAATCCTGTTCAAATCTAACATAGCCACCTCCTCCCTCTTGTAGAAAAGTTTGGCCCCTAATCTCCCTCCCTTCTCTATCCTCATCCTTCTTCTCCCTGCTTCTGGCTTCTGTCTCCTAAACCTCAGGCATCCTGGCCTTCCTCCATCACATCAGCTTCCCTTCCATGTCAGGGATTCTGCACCGGGCATTGTTCTCTTTCTGAAAGATGACTAGGAAGTGTCTGAACTTGCATTTGGACCCTGGTTCGAAGCCCTCGCTCCTCACTAAGAGTCAGTACGTCCGAGGATGCCCTGCGGCTACGCCTCCTCTCCACCCCGTCCCGCCCCCCAGCGCAGCCGTTTGTACTGTGGCATTAATGAGTAAATGAACGTTGTTACCCCATCGTCCTCTGCCCAGGGCGTGGGTCTGGCGGTGGCCCGGTGCCCGGAGGCGGCCCCCCCAACGCCCCCCCCCACGGCCTGAGCACCTGGAAAGAGCTTAGGAAGATCTCAAAGCCAAGCTTGGCCAAGCGCAGGGCGCCGCGCGCCTGTTCCTCGGTCACCGGAGCAAACACCACCTCGTGGACTCCCAGAAGGGGCACCAGCGTCAGCGTGGAGCGAGCCAGCCTGGGGACGGAGGGCGGCGGTGGTCCCCAGGCCCCCCCGCCCCGCCCTGGCCCTCACCGACCCTCTCCCTGACCCCTGACCCCTCTCACCGCAGGCGGTAGTCTGGGCAGCGCATCTGTCGTGTCCTCAGTTTGGACACAAGGATGCCAAGAATTCGGAGAAAGATGAGGAAGTTGATCTGCGAGGGGAAAGAGGCTGAGCCAGGCGCCATCCCCGTTCTGGGGGTGGGTGGGGGGCAGGAGGTGGCCCCTGCTCCCCAGAACCTGAAATCCCTGAGCACAGCCTAGAGGAAGAGGGACCGACCGTACCAAGATGGTTATTAGGATCGGGGTGCGAATGATCCACCAAATGGCCTTGACGTCATTACGCTCCCAGCACCTGGGGGGGACAGGGTAGAGCTGAGACAGAAAGCCCCCCTCAAGCCACAGGGTCCCGGGCAGCGCTCGCAGGGCTCCGCCCACTTCCGGCCCGCCCGCCTCCTAGGCCCCGCCCCCGCCCAGGAATTTGCTCAGGCCCCGCCCACACACCCTCCTGTCGTCCCGCCAGTCCGCTAAGCCACGCCCTCCAGTCAAGCCACGCCCCCCGAGCCTGCCACTCACTGCGTATTCTCGTACAGGTGCCTGACGATCACCCAGGGAATGACGAAAAACGCGGGGGCCCCTGTGCAGACCCCGACCCCCGCCCCCCACCCCGCCGCAGCCATCAGCACACACGCACAGGCCCCTGGCCAGGCCCAGGTCCCACGGAATCCCTCTGCCGGTTGGGGAAGAGACCCACCCCCTGGGTAAACCTGCGGGCAGTCCCATGGGCGCTGGGCCGGACAGGGAGGGAGTCGGGGCTCACCCCAGCCCAGGAGCAGGTAGCTGCGGAAGTGCCCCTCCTCCGAGCCGCCCACCCGCACCAGGAGGCGGTGCAGGTACACGCCCTCCACCAGCAGCCACGTGTAGTTGGCGCCTACGCAGTACTGAGTGATGATCTGTGCCGTGCGGCAGGCACCCAGGGCCTGGGAAGCAGACAGAGAGGGGCAGGGGGGGTTAGGGTGGCCGCCAAGGACCCAGCCTTTCTCCCACCTGGTCCCTCAGAGCCTGTCATCCTAATTACTTAGGAGGCTGAGATCTGAAGCATCACGAGTTCCAAGTCAGCCCAGGCAGGAAAGTTTATAAGACTCATATTCTACCAACTCTCCCCGCCCCCGCCCCCCACTATTACCAATTTCTTCCACCTTGGCCTCTCACCTGAGGTAAGTGGACTCTCCCATTGGCAGAAAAGTCTAATGATGGGTGAGATAGTGAGGGAGAGGTAATGGAAAATCCCAATTAAGGTGGAGAGTTCAGTGATGGCAAGGCTGATTGTCCCTCTCCAAATGTGGAGGGGAACCACGAATCATGTAGACAACAAGAACAGATGGAGAAGCAGGGCGCTGGTGCCTCACGCCTGTAATCCTAGCTACTCAGGAGGCTGAGATATGAGGATGGACGTTCAAAACCAGGCCAGGCAGGAACATCCGCAAGACTCTTATCTCCAACGAACCACCAGAAAACCGGAGTGGCGCTGTGGCTCAAGTGATAGAGAGTGCTGAAGAGCTCAGGCACAGTGCCCAGGCCCAGAGTTCAAGCCCGAAAATAAATAAATAATAAATGAATGAATAAATGAATGGAGGGAAGGATGAATGGGAACTTAGACATCCCACCAGAAGAAGCTTTGGGATGGGAAGGGTGAGTACCTGCTTCCACAGTGTAGGGGTCTGGTCCCCAGGGTAGGGGCCAGGTTCAGACAGGAGTCGATCACGAGTGAGGATGGCTGCGGCCCGAAGCATGAAGGACATAAACAGGTTCATGTGGATGTAATTACGAGTGCACCGCAGCCGCCTAAGGGATTTGACAGGGCAACTTGTCACCCCTCAAGGGCTGTCCCCAGCCAAATGAAGTCCCTGCCAACCCTTCCCATCAGCCATCAGTGAGTGGAGGCCAGGGGACCCTGGCCACCTCATGGGAGTCCCACCTGAAGAAACTCAAGATGAATAGAGCTAGCAGCAGCGTGACGAGGGACAGCGAGTAGCCCACAGTGTACACGACCTGCAGCCGCTCCAAAATCAGTCTTTGGTCCTGGCAGGAGAGGCAAAGGAAACAAGGCAACAAGGCTTAGCTTTTCCAGCCCAGAGACAGACGTTGCCTGCTTCCCTCTTCTACTTTTCCTTTCCTCTGTATTCCTGCCCTGGGTGCTTATTTTTTCTTGAGACACTACTACCCTTGTTTAAGTGGGGCTGACTCCCACACTTCAGCTCAAGGGTGGGGCATGTTCCCTGTCAATTGGAACATTCTAACACACACACACACACACACAGAGTCAGTTCTGGAGCAAGATGCTGGAGTTACTGAAAAGGAAGCTCAGTCATCTTAAAAGTTGTTGCTTGATTGATACAATGTGAACCAAAAACACTACTGGGGGCCAACTTCTCCACTGCACAGAAAAGATGCGACCAGCACAGACAAAAACAGGCATCTGGTTTGAGATTCCCCCACCATGTCTTTTGAGTCCCTGGATCCTGCTATACCTGAAGCTGTTGCCATATACTGGGTTGTTTTCTTTGATCTCTTTGAAGAAAGTCTGAGTGGGGTTTTTATTACTTGCAACCCAGAGTCCTAAACCTCATGAGGGCCTTTCAGGTATGGCCTGAGGCTGGGAGGGTGGGGGGTATCTGGGTACTTTCCCCCCAGATATCCTCACCTGGGCCCCTCCCCTCTTCTTACCTGAAAGGCCCCATTCTTCTCTGGATTCTCACACTGAGTATGGTCTCTCCAAGGTTCCCATTGGCCATTACTGCCACAGTGACGGAGAACAAAGCCAGCAGCCACTGAGGGAGAACCAGGGAAAGGATCAGAGAAAGAGAGTGTGAAACCCTCGCACTGAGAGTCTAAGTGGTGATGATGATGATTAAGCCTTAACTTAATACTCGTGCAAGCTGATGTAGACAGCAGTAGCATGAACCCCATTTTATAGATAGGGAAATTGAGTCACAAAAAAGTTAAATAAGCTGTCCCAGGATACATTGCGTTGTTAGACCAAGAAGATGCCTACAGATGGACAGATTCAGAGAGAGAGAGAGAGCCAAGCATTGCGGTACACCTGTGTAATCCCAACACTCAGGAAACTGAGGCAAGAATATCAAGTTCTAGGCTAGTCTAACCTACATAGTAAGACTCTTATCTTTAAAAAAAAAAAAAGTAAATCTAGAAACTGGATGTTGGTGGCTCACATCTGTAATCCTGGATACTCAGGAGGCTGAGATCTGAGGATCATGATCCAACCCAGCCCAGGCATGCAAAGCCTCCAAATAACCAGCAAAAGCCAGAAATGGAGCTCCAGCTCAAGTGGTAGAGCGCCAGCATCAAGTGAAAAAAATAACAAGCATGCAAAGCCCTGAGTTTAAAAATAGAGGGAGAGAAGGAGAGCAACATAGGAATATCAATGTAGCTTAGAGAAATGGGTGACCGGGCAGATGCAACAATAGCTAGCCAGACAGTATCATGCAGAGGACAGAGAGAAGGAGGAAGGGTTGGGGGGGGGAGCATGATGTCTGGGTGTAAAGGGGTCCAGGGAATGCCTCACCATGGCGGTGCCAGGGCAAGTACCAGGGGCAGGACGCTCGGGCAGTGACGTTGGGTGCAGCATAGTCCCAGCAGACATACATATCGAAGGACCCATTACAAGCGAGGCCTGAGGGGTGGACAGGGAAGGCAGATGCTGCAAAGCAACCCACTCAGCGGTGGGCCCAGCGCTTCTCCCATCTAGGACAAGCTCTCTGCTGTGGCTCCGCCCACCCTCAGCAACAGATCAGATTCTTACTGGGCCACAAGCCCCGCCCACCATCCCTCGAGGCTCCACCCACCCTCCAAGCTCCCCCCACTAGGAAAGTCTCATTTAGAAATCCCTCCATTCTACAAAAGCCCCGCCCCACTCCAGGGCAGGCCCCGCCCAAGACTCCTCCCATTCCAAGGCGCCCAAGGTTCTATTATTTAAGCCCCGCCCACCCAGACCAAGCCCCGCCCGCCAACTTGTGGGCCCCGCCCAACGGCCCTCCCATTCAAGTTTCTCAGGGCTCTCCTAAGATTTAAGGCCCACCTATCGATGCCAAGCCCCGCCCATTTTCTTTTAGACTCCACCCGTCGATCTCAAGCCCCGCCCAAACCCCTGGATGGTGCAGGTCCCGTCCAGAACTCCTCCCATTTCAAGCTTCTTCCCAGGGCTCTCCTAAGATCTAGGTCGCGCCCACCGAAGCTCACCCCTCTCTGACTCAGCTTCTCCCTCCCGACCCCAGTCCCCCTGCCACACCTGCAGGTGGCTCCGAGGCCTCTAGGGTCTCCTGGCACTCCCGGCGGTACCTCTCCCAGCGCTGGTACAGCTCCCCCGCCGTCTGCCCCTCCGAGCCTGTCTGGGAGGAGACAGCAGGGAGGACCCGCCCCCTCCCAGACCGACCTTCCCCCCACATTCTCAAGCAGCTTGGTTGAGCCAGGCCAAGGAGCATCCTAGAGGGGCTTTCCGGGTCCTGGGTGGCCTAGGGGTGGGAAGTGCTTAGGAAGTCGCCAAGAGATTTGCTATGGGACGTGCGTGGCAAACCTTCAGGGCAATTGAAGAGGGGAGTGGCTGGGCCTCATTAGGATTTGGGGTGGTGGATGGAAATCGGGTGCTGGTGGCACACGCCTGGAAATCCTAGCTACTCTGGAAGCTCAGATCTGAGGATCGCGGTTCGAAGCCAGCCCAGATAGACAAATCCGAGAGGCTCTTATCTCCAATGAACCACGACAAAGCTAAAGGACAGTGCCCAGTGCTTGAATTCAATCCCCAGGACCGGCATCAAGAAAAACAAAAAGACCTGGCTTTGAGCAAGGGGCAACAACAGTCTTCCTCTTTGGGGGAGGAAGACTTAAAAACGATCTCCAGACCTTCCTCCAAGCTTTGAACTCCATGTGTCTCCGGGGTCCTCACCTCTGCCCTCCGCAGTGGGAGTCCCCACAGAGAAAGCAGCAACAGCAGCGAGCGTAGGGGCCGGGAATTTGGCATCATGAAGGCGGCCAAGGGTCCGGTCACACAGAAGCCGTCGGACTGGAGGGTCCCGAGACAGAATGAGGACCTCTGCCCTCCCGGGCTCCAGCCCCAGAGCCCACCTGCCGCACACAGGTGGACCCGCCACGCTGCACCCTCCTCCCCTGGCTTCGCCTCCCGGGCTGAGATGCGCGGTGGGGCGTGGCCTCCGGTGGTGGGCGTGGCCTGTGCGGGTGGGCGGGGTGGAGGGCGTGGCCTCGCTCCTTGCGCGGTGCTCGGCCTTCCCCAGCTGTTGCTGGGGTGGCAATGATGGAAGGGAGGGGTGTTTGCAGAGGGGGCTGTTACCCAAGAGCCTTGCAGGGCGAGAAGCCTCAGTGTCTCCTAACAGTCTAGACCTAGAAACTTCTGGGCACCTGGGGACCACTTTGGGAGCCTGGAGGGGAGCTGGACCCGCACCCTCCCCAACCCAGGTGGCTGTTGACACCTGCAGAAAGGAACCCAACCGGATAAAACTTTCTCCCGCGGTGGCTAAGATAAAGCCGAGTGAGGAGGACAGCCCTCTCCTAGCATCCAAGGACTGAGATGCTCGACTTAAGTCTGCAGATGCCCGAAAATCTTTCCAATCATTCGGCCCCAGTGCCTGTTCCCAAATGCCCCGGGGTGGGGGGGAGGGGGGAGGCAAAGCAGAGGGGGCCATCGCAGAACCCCAGAAAGACAGGCAGGGAGTCAAAGACACACGGGACAGACTTACAGAGACTTCGAGACCAGACACAGCAAGGGACCAGAGACAAACCCAAAATGGAAATATAAGGATGTGGGCTAGGAGACGAAGAAGGTAGAGAGACAGAAAGGGAGAAGAGAGCTGGATGTCCGTCTACAAAGAAAGCCATCTAGAAGCTAGAGACTGAGAGATATAAAGACAGAGACATCAAGAGACAAACGCGATCAGAGGGGCGGAAAGAGACAAAGGCATTAGCTGAGAGACAGAGACAGAGCGTCAGGGCTAGAGAGAGAAAGAGGCCCAGAGCAGAGACTTGAAGGGGAGTTGGGGGCAAAAGAAATGGGGTGCAACGGGGGGGGGACGGGGAAAGGTTGCTCACCTGTCCCAGTCCTTTTCTCCCGCCGCCCCGGTCACCGTGGCCTCCCGTGTCTTGCCTGAGCTCTGGATGGAAGAGGTGACACGCGCTGGCAGCCTGGGGTGGTTGGAGGGGGCGGGGCGAGGGCGGAACTGAGGACAGCAAGGGGGGGAGCTCTGGGGTAGAGGGGGACCGAGAGGGCGGTGGAGTCCCTGTGAATTGTCCATCCGGAGGACCCCCTCCGATTTCTCCTTCTCCCACTCCCAGTGCCCAGGTCCCATCCAGCCACTGTCACATTCACACACCGTATCACACCCGGCTCTCCAATCTCACACCCGGATCCTTGCTCTCATTCACCATTTACAACTGCAACCACGCCCAGACAGTCTGTCACCTACCTACAGGTGGCACACCACACCACACACACACACACACATCTGGGCTGTGCACGCTTCACACACATAGGAACACAACCCCACCTTCCCAGTCATAAGGCCACATGCATTCACACTCACTGAATGGTGTGTGAGCCAGGGCCTCCTGTAGCACAGGAGGGCGGAAGCTGCCTTCTTCCACATCCATGTTTTCAGCAGGGTCCAGAGCAGAGGAACAGGGGTGATGGTGATTGAAAGAAATGCACACAGGTGTCCAAGGCTCCCCTAAAATTCCCGAGGTCCCTATTATCAAGGAGATCACATGAGGTCTCTTCTAGGCTCTTCTTTTGCCCTCAATGCAGGGGGGGCAGGGGGGAGAGGAAAGAGGGGGACAAATATTGAAACATCTGTCTAGGGTCAGGGGAGAGCTGCTTACGGGGTCCCCCCGCAGAGCCTTCACCCTCCATCCATATGATGAGTGCACCCTCCCCTGGGACCCAGAAGAAAAAAAAATGGGAAAGAGACTACACCCACTCTGCTCATTTTGCAGAAGGGAAACTGAGGCCCAGAGCCCTAGGAGGGGCAGGGAATATGACAAGGGATGTGATGTTCGCATTAGAGGCTAGAAGGAGACAAGTCTGAAGGGGTGGGGGTGAGAGGGTGGGGGGGTCCTTGTAGCCTGGCCCCTGGGGGCCTCCCTGCCCTCTGCTCCACATTCCTGGCGCCCTGTGGATCCTGGGAAAGGAGAAGGAAAGGGAGTCTAAGATGGCCCGGCACCTCAAGGAGAGGCTGGGGTTGAGAGGGAGTCTCCTGGGTTCCAAGAAGGCCCAAAGGTCACCCCACTGGGGAACGGGGAGGGAGGATACTGGAAAGGGAGAGGAAGGACTGAGGTAGTGTGAGAGACAGAAAAAGAAACCAAAGCCTAGAAAGATCTAGAAAGAGAGAGACAGAGAAGGACAGGAAGAGAAGGGGGGGGGCTCCCCAGACTGGCCTCTGCCCAGCTCAGCTGTCCTGAATCTATAAAGTTCCACAGGATCTGGGACAGACAGCAGTATCCTGGGGGCAGCCAACAGATTTTGCAGTTTAAGACATGTAGAAACAGCCAGGCTTGGTGGATCATGCCTGTAATCCCAGCTACTCAGGAGGCTGAAACCTGAGGACCTTGGTTCAAAGCCAGACTGGGCCAGGAAAAGTCAGTGATATTCATCTCCAATGAAACATACAAAACAATACAATAGTGGTAGAGTGCTTGCTTAGCATTCATGAAGCCCTGGGTTCAATTCCTCAGTACCACATACACAGAAAAAGTCACAAGTGGTGCTGTGGCTCAAGTGGTAGAGCAGTAGCCCTGCACAGAGAGGCTCAGCAGCAGAGCCCCAGGCCCTGGCAAACCCCAGGACTGGCAAAAAAAAAAAAAAGCCAAAAGTAGAGCCGTGGCTCAAGTGGGTAGAGCACTAACTTTGAAGGGACAGCACCCAGGCCCTGAGTTCAAGCATCAGTACTGGTATACACATGTGTGTGTGCGCACACACGCACACACACACACACACACTTTTCTAGAAATTGGAGTCAGAGAAGTAGCCCAGTGCTTTCCTGAGGACCCCAGCCCCTCAGCCCATCCCTACCCCAGGGACACAGCTCCCCAAGCTGTCAACCCTATTCATGCTCTTCTGTTTTTCCTGTCTCTAAATTTAGCATTTGTCTCTCCCAGCCCCAGCTTCTCCCTTGTCTTTCTTTCCAGACTTATTTCCATCGTCTCTGTCTCTCTTTCATCCTTCCTTCTGCATCTCTCTTTGGTATTAATCTGCCCTTTCTCCTAAATTCTAATAACCCCACATTCTGTCTTTCTGATCTGTCAGGCCTTTCCTCCTCTCCTGTCTCATTTTGCCTTTCTGACCTCTGTCTGTCTCTCTTTCCATTTTCCTTGGTCACTGCTTTTCTGGTTCTTGGCTCTCACCTACCCATCCCTCCCCTCCCCCCCCTCCTCCACCCCCAGCACTGACCAGACAATGCCCCTGCCCAGGATGTGGTGATAGGGAAGAATCTGGAAAGTCTCTGTCTCTTCCCGCACCCCCCCACTCCAACCCCCATGAGGCTGCTTGGCCAAGCAAAACCAGTGGGGAGCAGGCGGGGACCTGGGGTGCTGGCAGATGGTGCAGGAGAAATGAGGCAGAGAGAGATGGGAAGGAGGATTTCCTGTAGGGACTGAGACAGAGATGGCCCTGTGGGATTCCGGACTGAAGAGAGACGAGGTCTGGAAGGCAGAGACACAGGGAGGAAGCCATAGAGAGACAGTCTCACATTTCTGCCCAGGCTGGCTTCGAACTGGGATCCTCAGATCTCATCCTCCTGAGTCGCTATCCACCAACCCGGAGGACCAGAGAGGGACAGAGAAATGGACATCTCTGTTGCCATCCCCTGCCCCACAGAATGTGAAGACACAGAACTAGAAAGAGACCAATGCCCGAGATAGAAGCCTGGAGAGACTGACAAACAAGCAAATAAAAAATGGTGATTGAGGGCTGGGAAGGTGGCTTGGTGGTAGAGTGCTTGCCTAGCAGGCATGAAGCCCTGGGTTCGATTCCTCAGTACCACATACACAGAAAAAGCCAGAAGTGGAGCTATGGCTCAGGCAGTAGAGCACTAGCCTTGAGCAAAAGAAGCTCAGGGACAGTGCCCAGGCCCTGAGTTCAAACCCCAGGACTGGAAACAAAAATGATGATTGGTCAGATTGGTCAGACAGGCTCCTGTGTGTCATTCTAGCTGCTCAGGAGGATGAGATCTGAGGATGGAGGTTCAAAGCCAACCCAAGCAGACAAGAAAATGTCCTTGAGACTCTGATCTCCAATTAACCAGTAAAAACACTGGATGTGGAGGTGTGGCTCAAGTGGTAGAGCACCAGCCTTGAGTGGAAAAGTTAAGAGCTTGAGGTGCTGAGTTCAAGTCCTAATATAAACATAAACCCAAACCAAAAATATATGGCTATTGAAAAGATAAAGAACCATGAAACCCAGAGAAAGGAGGGGGAGAGATAAGAGGGGGGAGGAAGAGAGAGAGAGAGAGAGAGAGAGCCTGGAAAGACAGAATTCAAAATTAGGGATCCAGAGAGAGTGTGAGATAAAGAAAGAGACAAGAGACAGGACACCTTAAGTTCCAGAAGAAAGTGAGGCAGACCTGATGAAATGGCTCAGAGACAGAGACAGAGGCAGAGAGACAGAAACAAGACTTGGAGACCAGGGACATGGGAAAGGAGTCAACTCTCAAAGACACAGAGTTGAGGCCCAGAGACAGAGCTCCCCCTCAGTGTCTTCCGGGCCTGGAGAAGGGTGCTTGTCTCCATAGCAACCACCCCATCTCCCCAGATCCTCAGGGCAAACATTGTCCTGACCAGAAGGCAGCAGAGCTGTGTTGACACATCTCAGGCTGGCTGGGGTAGGGGCTCCAAGGACTCAGACGCCAGGATTAAGGTGGGGGAGGGGGGATGTGGAAGAGCAGAGGTCTCTCCCTGCTGGGTTCTACAGTCAGCTTCAACCTCCACATTTCTGGCAAGCATCTCCCCATTCCCAGCCACTGTGTCAAACCCAGAGAGGTCCCTTCTGCCCAGTCCCCCATGCTGGAGTATTAGTGAGAAGTACTTTTCTAAGAATAAAAGCCTTCAGGCTGGGGCTGGCTGGGAGAGTACTCAGGGCTCCCAAGAAGGTGTGTGACCCTGAGTTCCATCCCCAGTAGCCCCCTCAAAAATAAAAGATTTTTCTTTGTCGGTCATGTGGCTTGAACTATGGGCCAGGGCGCTGTCCCTCAGCTCTTCAGCTCAAGGCAAGTGCTCTACCACTGAGCCACCTTCCCAATCAATAAAAGATTCTTTGTCTTTTCTTTTTTGGTACTGGGAGTCGAACCAGGACATTGCACTTCCTAGACAAGTGCTTAGCCACTGAGTTACATCCCAGCACAAAAGAAAAGATCATTTCTTTAGGGAGGACCAATCCTGGGGCTTGAACTCAGGGCCTTGGCACTCTCCCTAAATTTTTGTTGTTGTTGTTGTTGTTGTTCAAGCCTGGTGCTCTATCACTGGAACCACAGCTACACTTCTAGCTTTTTTGGTTGTTAATTGGAGATAAGATTCCCATAGGGGCTGGGAAGGTGGCTCAGTGGTAGAGCGCTTGCCTTGCATGCCTGAGGCCCTGGGTTCGATTCCTCAGCACCACATAAGCAAA